TGCAATTGGTCAGTTAAGTATTTCTATTTATTTACTTGATTTTTTGGGGGGGGAGCTGCCCCCCATACCCTCCTGGCTACACCCATGCGCGAAAATGGGAAGTATGGAAGGACACTTGCAATGTCATGTATCCCCCCCACATACAAATTTGAATGAATGCTGAAACAAACTGCTGTGGTCTAGTCTGCCTGCAAGCAAAACAGGATGAATGCATGATAAACTGGTAATCTGGAAGTGACTTTACTTTGGCTCTCAGAATCACTGACTTCATGTCCTCAGTGCTACCCAACCCCATGGGCGTAGCTGGTGATACAGCGTGGGGCAGCTCAAGTAAATAAATAAAAATACTTAACTAACTGATCAACATAAAGCCTGCCCCCCCCAAAAAAAACAAATCCTGGCTACACCCATGCGGCACACTTCCCATGTTTTGGGCAGAAAGGTTTGAAGTGAGGATGCTGCTGTCTCTGTGTTTTGCAGGCTGATGTGCCGCATGAATTAGAATCGAGAAAAATATGAACGAAACTTTCCTACAAGCGCGAGACATCCTCAGGGTACCATATGCATTTATATTTCATTGCAAGGCAGATAATGCGAGCAATGAATTCCTTGGCCATCGTGAACATTACGCTCCACATTTTGGAAGGTATTTTATTAAAGCTTTCATTAAACATAGAATTTAACTCAATTATATATTGCCAGGAGAAGCCGCAAATGCAGCAGTTATTTAAAAAGCCCCAAACACAATCATTTTGGAGCAAATCTTGCCAGAGCAGATGCAGGCATCTTTGCGTAAGTCTTAACTCATAATGAGTAAATAGGGCAATAATGCAATAAACAATTAAAATAAGATTTACTCTACAGAATATCCGCCACAAAGCAAAGGAGAGACAATGAGCTGTTTTGTTCCCAGGATTTAACTTTTCTCCTTTCTTTTAACACAATACAATCCCAATTTTTAATCAGATGTTCCCTGGAAATATGATTATTCCTTATTGTTCATATTGATCTATTCCATGTTCATCCTTTAATTTACATTTTATTATGGTTCATTTAGGAGGGACGCGGGTGGCGCTGTGGGTTAAACCACAGAGCCTAGGGCTTGCCGATCAGGAGGTTGGCAGTTCAAATCCCCGTGACGGAGTGAGCTCCCGTTGCTCGGTCCCTGCTCCTGCCAACCTAGCAGTTCGAAAGCACGGTCCCTGCTCCTGCCAACCTAGCAGTTCGAAAGCACGTCAAAGTGCAAGTAGATCAATAGGTACCGCTCCGGCGGGAAGGTAAATGGTGTTTCCGTGTGCTGCTCTGGTTTGCCAGAAGCGGCTTAGTCATGCTGGCCACATGACCCGGAAGCTGTATGCCGGCTCCCTCGGCCAGGAAAGCGAGATGAGCGCCGCAACCCCAGAGTTGGCCACGACTGGACCTAATGGTCAGGGGTCCCTTTACCTTTTATGGTTCATTTATATATTTATTACATGTTTCTCCAAGGAACTTGGTATACATGGTTCACCACCATTTAATTCTCACAACAACCCTGTGAGGTAGGTCAGGAGAAGGAGTAAGGTCACCCAATGAGCTTAACATCTCGGGAAGATATGAATTTGAATCTTGCTGGTGCTAGTCCAACACTCTACACCAAGGGTGAGGAAGATCCAGCCTACCTCTTAGTTTTAAACAGGATACTGCCAGTGTGCTGTAATGGTTAAGAGCGGTAGTCTCGTAATCTGGGGAACCGGGTTCGCATCTCCGCTCCTCCACATGCAGCTGCTGGCTGACCTTGGGATGGTCACACTTCTCTGAAGTCTCTCAGCCCCACTCACCTCACAGAGTGTTTGTTGTGGGGGAGGAAGGGAAAGGAGATTGTTAGCCGCTTTGAGACTCCTTTGGGTAGTGATAAAGCGGGATATCAATTCCAAACTCTTCTTCTGCTTCTTCTTCTTTGAGGGAAATTATGTGTTTTAAAGGTATAATGTGTAAGCAGCCGAAGTAGAATGGTAAGACTGGCCCTGCTCATATATAAATGATTTTTTAAAAAAGGATATTAGAATAAGTACCATGGCATAATTATTTCTTTGACACGATCAAAGAGCACGCTCTGTTTTAAAAATAAAACAGTAAATTCCCTTTCTGAGGCTGACCTGCTCATAAACAAAACGTCTGTGCAGTTAACAGAGTCGGTTTCTCTACATAATGGTGTTGCTCCGACTGACCTGCTCAAATAAAAGAGATACATTATGATGGGAGAAGTACTGAGCAGAAGATAATTATCTGAACCAGTGAACTTCCAAGTATCCTTAAAATAGTGTTGTTATTTTTATATATCTGTTGTTTGCTCGAATCTGTCATCATCCGTGACATTCCCCTCTAAAGAGTTGGATGTGTTTGTTTGTTTTTTAAAAGCAGTGTTCAGGAAACCGTGAGAAGTTACCGCACTCTCCTGTCGGGTATACATGAATTTGAAGTTCCTTCATGTTACTTGCCGTATACACAGGGCATGATCCGGTCAAAGTTAAATAGGATCAAGACCATTAAATTGGCTGAACAGGCGATACTGAGGGAAGCCTATATTTAGACCATGTGGATTGCCAGTGAGAGAGGGTGGGCAGCAGCCTGGCTGATTGCCTCGGATGCATCAGCAAACTCCATTATTATTATTTTTGCATTTATTTATACTGTGCCTTCTTCCCTTATGGGACACATGGCAGCTTATAGATAAAAACAAGAATTGCTAAAAACAAAGAAAAAACAATAATTTAAAAACAAACATTACTAGAATTAAAATTATATACACATATAATGGGACAAGTGTGGTGCTGTGGTCTAAACCACTGAGCCTCTTGGGCTTGTTGGTTGTATGATTGGCAGTTCATATCTGCACGACTGGGTGAGCTCCCGTTGCTTTGTCCAAGCTCCTGCCAACCTAGCAGTTTGAAAGCATACCAGCATGAGTAGATAAATAGGTACTGTTGCGGCAGGAAGGAAAACGGCATTTCCATGTGCTCTGGCTTCCGTCACGGTGTCCCGTTGTGTTTTGGTCAGAAACGTTTTAGTCATGCTGGCCACATGACCCAGAAAAGCTGTCTGCAGACAAACGGTGGCTCCCTTAGCCTGAAAGTGAACGCCGCACCCCATAGTCAAATTCGACTGGACTTAACCATCCAGGGGTCCTTTACCTTACTTTTACATATACAACATCTGGTTAAAACATATCCATAATTCCAGTTAAAAACAATATGACAGCAGTCCTTTCATTAAAAGCAGTCAATTCCCCAAAGCCTGTTGAAACAAGAAAGTCTTCATCTGCCGGCAGAAAGACAACAAGGAGGGAGACAGTCTAACTTCTCCAGGGAGGGACTTCCAAAGTGCAACGCTCTGACCACAACAGTGGCTCTCTTCTTTATAGTATTGTTACAAAAATCGGGTGCCTACCCCTCTCCTTGCCTGGTTCCTTTGGAGAACAGAAGACATGGCGGAGACTGTTGTGGCTTTAAGAAATATGGTCTATTCGCCTACTTACACCTTCAGTCTGCATGGAGGGAGCCCAGTTCTTACTGCATGGCCCACAGCAGTGCAGGCAACCTTCCGCCTCCCTGCCCAAGACAGATCTCCCCCCTTCCTCCTGCTTCTTCTTCTCAGAAACCCTTTTCCCGTGCCCTCAAACATACCTTAGTAACGTCTCACTCCCCAATGGCCCATCAACACTGTGGTCACGTTCATGGGTTTGCTCTTCCCCCAGCATAAGCCAACCCAGGAATTCCCCATTTGGCACAGTTCTGAACTTTAATCCATATCCCAATTGATCAAAACCTTCACATTAATTTCTAGGGTTTGCGGACACCCCCCCCTTAAATCTATAACCGTATAAAGCAGTGGGTAGCCAACATGGTGCTGCTAGCCTTTCTCAACCTGTGGGTCCCCAGATGATGTTGGACTACAACTCCCATCACCCCTAGCTAGAGCTCAGGGATTATGGGAGTTGTAGTCCAACAACATCTGGGGATCCACAGGTTGAGAACCACTGTGGTGGGACTACAGTTCCCATCAGTCCTAGCTAGGAAGACTAATATAGGTCTTAAAGTAGGGTTGTATTTCCCCTCATCCGTTTTATTATTTTATCTTCCTGTAAACCACTACTGATAGTAGTAGTAGTAGTAGTAGTAGTTGCTGCTGCTTTTTTTTGTAGGCAAGAGGTGTATAAATAAATAATAATGATGACTTCATTGGTAGAGGGCGCAAGAGAGCCCGCCCGCCCCCGAGGACTACAAACCCCAGAATCCCGCGGCGCGGCCTCCCGCCAATCGTACGAGAGCGCTCCTGCGCGAAGGCTTCTGGGATTCGTAGGCAGCGGCGGCCACTAGCCCAGCCCAGTGGGAGGGACCGGCGGCGGAGGCGGCGAGGCTGAGCCAGGTGTCTAGCGGGCGGCCCTGCAGGTGACGGCGGCCGGGGAAGGGGCGGCGGGGCAGCGAGGCGAGGGGCGAGTGGTATCCGGGAGCGCAGCGGAGGCCCGAGGGAGGCGAGGGGCGAGGTGGCCGCTTGGCTGCCTGCTTGGTTGGTTGGCTGGCCGGCCCGGGGATTGCAGCCGGCGCCTCGCTCCCCTCTTCTTGCAGCAAAGCGGACGGAGAGGCGCGAGGCGGGCTGCTGCTGCCGCCGCCTTTCTCGCTCGGCGAGGTCGGCCGCCTGAGCATGCAAATCTCTGCAGCAGCTCCGGGGTGGTACAGTCGGTGGGTGTAAGGGCTGGGGGAAAGGAAGCGCGTCCCTCCCTCTCTCCCTCCTCCGCGCTTCCCCAGGCATGCACCCCTTCGCCCTCGTGGCCTGCAAACTGGAGCCCGTGCCAGAAGCAGAAAAAACCCCTCCACAAAAACAAGACACCCCCCCAAGAAGTTCACCATCATCAGACGGGCTGCAAAGAGAGCGCATGATGCGGGTGGTCGATGTCTTTTGGGTCTTGCAAAGGAAAAGGCTGCATGGCAGCTGGGTGAGGGAGCCTTGGTGCAAGCGCCCGTGCCGGGGATTTCCTGGGGAGCAACATTACCTTACCAGGAGTGACCAAGCGGGCCTTGTTTTAAAGCCCTGCTCCTTATTTTTAGGACCTTGCAGTTCTGGGGGGTCTCCTTAAGGGCCCTCCTGATTGTGACATTCTGCCTTGTTTTGTTTATTTTACAAGAAACACAACAAAACACCACCCCTGCTTCTTTTTAATAGGACCCAGCTCTACCCACTGAAGGTGATAATAATATTAATAATATAATAATTCATTCCCTTTTGATTTCTACTACTGCTCCTCTATGCTGCTGCCCTGTAATCCTGTCTTGCTTTCCAATGCAGTCCTCCCCTCCTAAAGCCCACGTGGCCCTTTGTTATTTTTTTCTTTTCATTGTTCCTGGTTTTTCCATGCGCATTCTCCTTGTGGCGTTTTGTGGTTGTTGTTGTTTTCCTTCGGTACCTTCCAATCTCTCTCTTTCTCTCTCTGTGCTCCCCTGGAGCCTCTGCTAGCAACTGTTCCGGGCTGCCGCTGGATAAAAGTGTGCTCTGCCTGGAGTTTGCAGACGGCAAAAGCATGAATTGATTTACTGTCCTACTTCGGAGGCATCTCTGGGCAGCTGGGAGCGAGCGCCCGGGAAACAGCAGCAAGAGGAGGAGCAGGCGGGAGAAGGCAGAAGGGGTCCTTTTGTGTCCTCCCTTGAACATAGGCTGTTTCCTCCTCGCCTCCATCCTGGCTGGAAGAGTTCTTTGCAATAGCACACAGAGGCTGACAAGATCTCTCTCTCTCTTGCTGCTGTTTTTTGTTTTTTTTTAAGTGCTCCTTTCTCCATCCCCTTCCCCCTTTTTGCTCATGTGCGGATGCTTGTTTTCTTGCAGTTCACCTTCTCCCGAGCCCCGTGCTGGTTGGAAACAGCAGGAGCCAGAAGAGGAGGCAGATCAGCCTGCCCTTGGTTGCACAGAAGTGGTGTGCTGATTTCGTACTACTTGACACCAGAGCTACTCCCAGCCATCTGTGACTCGAGCTGCCTGAAGCAGTGGTACAGGGAGAGGAGGAGGAGGAGGCAGCTTTAGTAGCCGATGATAACCCTGCCCTCAGTGGGTTTGTATTACCGGAGCATGCACTGATTTGCTGCCTTGTCTTTAGACCCATCCCAATCGCCGGGGTTTGTGCGGGTGTGCGGTGCATGGTCAGGAGGGAGGGGGGGAAATCCACTGTCTCCGTAATAAATGATAGAGGATACAATGACTTTGCTCTCTCTGCTGGGTCGGATCATGCGTTACTTCTTGCTGAGACCAGAGACCCTCTTCCTGCTATGCATCAGCCTGGCACTGTGGAGCTACTTCTTCCATACGGATGAAGTGAAAACCATTGTCAAGTCCAGCAGGGACGCCGTGAAGATGGTGAAGGGCAAAGTGGCGGAGATCATGCAGAATGACCGGCTCGGCGGATTGGATGTGCTGGATGCCGAGTTCTCCAAGACCTGGGAGTTTAAGAACCACAACGTGGCCGTTTACTCCATCCAAGGCCGGAGAGACCACATGGAGGACAGGTTCGAAGTAATCACTGACCTGGTGAACAAGACCCATCCTTCCATATTTGGGATATTTGATGGGCACGGAGGCGAGGCAAGTCTCGGGCTGTTCATTTTGGGGGTTCGGGATTTGCTGCCATTTCCTATTTATTGCCATTGTTTGACTTAAACAAGTAGCAAAGTTGTTGTTTTACGGTCATTCGCACCTCTGGTTTGGGTAGAAGCCATTTAAAGGGTACAGCAGGACAAAAGCCTAGTCTTCCATTCTTTCCTTTTTAAAAATACCTTGCAGTTGGAGCATCCTGGCAGTAATGACTGTGATCACAAACTTGCTCTGTTAAAGCTCTTCTAACCAAGCTATGAGGCTTCACATGCTGCTGCCAGCTGAGTAAAGTCAGCAGATGCTGTAATGGTTGGTTTAAAGGGAAAGTTTATTGAAAGAGGGGGTGTTTTTTATTGTAGGAAAGAAAGGAGCTAGCAGGAGATCCCTAATGTCCCCAGTTGGGGAACAGAACTGAAAAACTTTGTTTCTTCTAGCCGACCCAAGGAATTAACCTCGTGCCACTGCCTTTATTATTATTATTATTTCTGGCCATAGAAGTTTGTTCTTTGTTTACGCCGCGTTCTGTAGCCTTTCTACTTGCCGAGACAGGCTGTTTGCTTGGACAGCAGTGCAAATACCATGTGTCGCTCCCTTCCTCTTTGCAAGGGATGCCTGGAAAGGTTGCTGTAGCTTTTGTACATTGCAGGGTGCGCGGGTGGGCTTGGGGAGTGGCAGAATCGGCTAGTGACACCCTAGCTGCAGACCTATTATCTGTGTCGGGTTAATCAGCGATGAAATACAAGGAGGTTTTCCTCCCTTTTCTTTTGCTTGTATGCTAAGAGTGGCTGGGGGAAGTGACAGGGTGCTGGGTGAGGAATCTTGCTGGTGTGTTAAATGAAATACTTGGTGCACCACCTGAAGTGCTTTGCTTGTGTTTGTTTTTATTCTGCCTCTGTTGTGCTATTATCTGAGGGTCTTTGGGTTTCCTACAGCTGTTCTGGCAAGTCAGACTTGCTGGGAAAGCTGTGACAGCGATCTGGCACAAATCGAGGTCCCCAAGGGTAGCAGCTGTTCTCATAACTCCTGATAGGCTGCACCTCTTGCGCTCCTTCTGTGCACTCGCCACACTGGGGGAGGGGGGGCTCTAACAGCCCCAGCCTAAGCTTATGTTCTTCCTCGGAAGTAAGGCTCATTTGCACCCAGTAAGTGGGCATAGATCTGCAGCCCAAATCTCCAGGGATAGCAGGATGCAGACTATCCCTATGACTGGGACTTTGTTTTAGGAACAACCACTGTGGGTTTAGGAATCAACCAAATTTCAGATTAGTTATTTGTTGAAGTCTTTTATTACTGCTACCTTGTAACGGATGTTGATGTTTGGTTAAGATAAACATTTTTATTTTGTTTTTCAAAGAAGGGAAGCAAATGCTTGTGTGTTTGTGTGATTGTATGCTGCCTGGAGTCCCAAATTCTTTTCTACAGGCCACCTTACAAAAATCAGGAGCTGTGCAAGAACACGGTAGCATTTTTCTGTGGCTCCCCACTCATTTTGATGGGTTCTTTTCTCAGGAGAAATGCCTGGTGGATTGTGTCACTCTTTAAAAAGTAGAAGCATTTCAAGCTAAGTATAAACTTTTATAGCCCAGAGCCCTTTGAAAACCATCTCTTCTCTATCCCAACTCATCCCCCCAGAAACCCCTTGTGTTGAAATTTGGTAGCTTTATGTACGTTAGTTAAATCCAGATTTGTGGCAGAAATATAGCTTAGCAAAACCTTTCTTCCTAACCAGTTTAGAATATTATTTCTCTCCACCACCACCCCGGCAAAAAAAATTCTAGCTAAGCGCTGTCTGGTGCACTGAGTTCTGTTTACAGTAAGCTTTCCATCATGCTTTTAAAACAGAATGCTAGCATTGAACTTTTTGCTCAGTGTGTAATAATGAGTCTTCTTTTGTTGTATCAGATGGTATTTCACTTATAGGAGTAAATTGCATTAGTATATTTGACCTCAGGTGCCATTATTTTAAAATTTAGGTGTTTGTGACTGCATGAAGAGCAGTGATGTTAAAATATATGGGTCGTGAATAGTCCTTGTTTGTTATTGCAGGAAGCTGATTATACGGGGGGGAAATCCTTTTTTGCCCTTATAGGTCACACAGTGTGGAGGACCAGTGACTGCTAGCTCTGATGGCTGTACCACCTCCAGGAGCTGAGGCAGCTTGTCTCTGAAGACCAGTTGCTGGAGAACCACAGCAGGAGAGGGCTATCTCTTGCATTGGGGGTGGGAGTTACCTATAGGTATCTGTTTAGCCATTGTGGGACACAGGGTACTGCATTAGATAGACTTTTTGTTGTGATCCAGCCAGACTCTCCTTAACGTTCTTTTGCTGCTTCTTAACTCCTCCATTCTACTCGGATTCAAGAGCAAAAAAGCATATGGAAGTTTCCATCCTTTTAACACGTACTTTTGGACAAAAGCATATTGTCTCCTAATCTGGAGTGCTTGAGCATAGGCGTTAGTCAAAGGATGCAATCACGGAACCGGAATTTCTTGAAATGGGTTACCTGTAAGCTCCTTGTGGGTGGAGGGTGGAGTCTCAAGACTGGGAAGATGTTGGAGAGTATTTCAGCTGACTGTCTGTGATGTAGTGGGGAGGTAACAGAGCTGGAAAACAGGCAGTCTGAATTTATTCTGGCTAAATGGAGAGATTGGCTCATGCAGTCAGGTATTGGGTTCCTGTCTTCTAGATGTCAGTGCACATTACACGAATCTGCCCCTCTAAAGATGAAATGGCCAAAAATGTTGGTACCTATGAACAATTCCCCCGGATATAAGGCAGAATGTTTTGCAAATGAAATATCCAGAATTGGAGGAGCACTGGGTCTTTAGGTAATACAGTGGTACCTCGGGTTACATACGTTTCAGGTTACATATGCTTCAGGTTACAGACTCCGCTAACCCAGAAATAGTGCTTCAGGTTAAGAACTTTCCTTCAGGATGAGAACAGAAATCGTGCTCTGGCGGTGCGGCAGCAGCAGGAGGCCCCATTAGCTAAAGTGGTGCTTCAGGTTAAGAACAGTTTCAAGTTATGTACGGACCTCCGGAACAAATTAAGTACTTAACCCGAGGTACCACTGCAGTAATAACAGTTAATCTGCAGAGGAACTATTTGGTGGAATTCTGTGATGGCATCATAGCTGTGGAACTCCCTAAGGAAGTTCCATTTTGCTTCCTCCATGGTTTTTCAGCAGGAAACCAAAGCAGTCCTCTTCAGGGGGGGGCTTTTTTGGGGGGGTTGCCATGATTAGCTCCTGTTCTTGATTCTGCTGCTCTGTTCCATACTTCTGCATTTCTAGTATGTTTTTGTATTAATTTATATTGTGTCTAATATGCCTTGTTAGCTGCATTGGAAACTTGGATGAAAGATAGGTTACAGTTGCCTTTTAATCAGCGAAGTGTTAGGAGTGGATGGTGTTACTCTGTAGCAGCTGGTTATCTGCTCAGAATGCATTTAAGCTCTCTGCGATCTTTTAGCACCCCCAGTCCTTTGTTTGTCCTCGCCTTCTTCCTCTGTATAGTATTGCACACTTGTTGTTAACAGGCCTCATTGAAAACGACAGTGTTAAATGTGTGTTTTTATGGATGGACCCGGGGAAATAAATAGTTGATAGGATGGCTGAGCTAGGGGGCAGCTGTGGGGTTTTGTTTTTTAAAAAAGTGTGGTAACCATTTGCTCTTGATTTCATCACAGACAAGTGGCCAGGTGGTGATATTCCACTTCCTAACTCGCTGTTTACAGCCAGTGTGCGTATCACTACCGTGCAAAATGTTGGCCGCCTCACTGTGAGGGTCATAACATTTGAAGCAGCCATTAAAAAAAGCAGCTCCCAGTATGTTTCCGAGCACAATTCAAAGTGTTGGTGCTGACCTTTAAAGCCCTAAACGGCCTTGGTCCTGTATAACTGAAGGAGCGTCTCCACCCCCATCATTCTGCCCGGACACTGAGGTCCAGCACCGAGGGCCTTCTGGTGGTTCCCTTGCTGCGAGAAGCCAAGTTACAGGGAACCAGGCAGAGGGCCTTCTCGGTAGTGGTGCCTGCCCTGTGGAATGCCCTCCCACCAGATGTCAAAGAGAAAAACAACTACCTGACTTTTAGAAGACATCTGAAGGTAGCCCTGTTTAGGGAAACTTTTAATGTTTGACACACTATTGTATTTTAATATTTTGTTGGAAGCCGCCCAGAGTGGCTGGGGAACCCAGCCAGATGGGCGGGGTATAAATAATTTGTTGTTGTTGTTGTTAATATTTAAGAAGGGTTAGAAAAGGTGTTCTGGTCTTTGCATTTTTTCTGCTATGTGTACACAGGCTTGTTGCTGTGTTACAAACTTTTGCTGCATGCCTATTTGAACGAAGCACAGAATTGTAGCAGGGGCTTTTTAGGTGTACCACATTGTGCCTGATGCAGGAAATTGAGATAAAGCCAGTGTGGTATAGTGGTTAGAGTGTTGGACTTTGACCCCGGGAGCCCAGGGTTCAAATCCCATTCAACCGTGAAGCGCACAGCTCACCTCGGGCCCCTTGCCATTTTTCAGCCTAGCTCACCTCAAAGCATTGTTGTGAGGATAAAATTGGGGGAAGGTAAACTTTGTACACCACCTTGAGCTCCTTGGAGGAAAAGGTGGGATCTAAATGCTATAATAAATAAATAAATAACAAAGTGTACACCCAGCAGATGGTTGTCAAACCTCAGTGGGACCCTTTCAGTTTTGCCATTAACAGTATAGTAGCAGTAAATGCCATTTGGCTCTGTCCTGTGCTCTTCGTTGTTGTTTAGTCGTTTAGTCGTGTCCGACTCTTCGTGACCCCATGGACCAGAGCACACCAGGCACTCCTGTCTTCCACTGCCTCCCGCAGTTTGGTCAAACTCATGCTGGTAGCTTCGAGAACACCGTTTGCCTTGTAGCTTTATGAACATATGATTTATATATATGCGAGACCTCAGAATTCCTATAACAAGGGGATGAACTATATATTTATATTGTATCCTCTTT